ATAAAGCACTGATGTTTTATTAATCAGTTCTATATCAGATATAAAGAACTTTCATGGTCATCAGCGTTTTATCGCAACCAAACACTAGCAAAGACCTCAGTTTTAATGTCGCATCATAGATCTTTGCTAGGTTTTAAATCAATTTTGAATCATGTGCAGACATGCAGTATAGCAATGACTAGCCGTTCTCACGTGTGGGATCAAAATTCTTTCAATTGTGGCAAATGCACATGCTCAGTAGAAGTTTTTAAAATTGCATAATCACTGTTTTCGCATTTTTTAGCTTTTTTCTAAAATCATGATAACAATTTCTGGATGTTGGAGTTCTAGAAGTAGTATAAAAAAACTCGACGTCGTGCTTTATCGGGAATATAGATACTCAGCCTTCGGCCTCGTGTCTATATCTTTCTCCCGATAAAGCACTCCTAACTACATAATAGTTTGACAAAAATGTAGGATTGTAGATTGCTTGACAAAAATGAATGGAGAAATCCAGACTACCTTCTGGATTCAAAGGCTTACAACGAATTTGACATAAAAGTTTTTTTCACATATTTAGTTAGAATATTCTTACRGTCAATAAAATGTTACCAAGAATATTACGATTWGGTATTGGAGAGTTTTGATGCTGTTTCTACTAATACTGACAAAACTCTGTATAATTGTGGTGTATCATTCCAGTGCCCTTACCGTTCCCCATGCCTTAAGGAAAGATGTATATGTCTTTTCACTATACAGTGGTGGGAGGTTGCACACAGCACTTGCAAATGCTTCCGACACGGAGAAAATTTCTTGAAACGCCATGTCAATGAAATACTCCGCATTGCCTTTGATGCAAACCGTTCTTTCTTCATAGAAGACCTTTTCACTGTCTGTAGTCGCTTTATTCATGTTCTCATAGCCTTGGGAGAAAATATTTATGCGGGTTATTTAATCGTTAAGTAAAAAAATGAATGACCGGATGTATAGTGCGGCGAAGAAGGGATCGATGAAATACGGTAACAAATTTCAAGGTATGGTATCAACTTAGAGCAAATCCGCAACTAGGTCATTTAGAGTATAATGAATAAAGTCGAATGTATGCCTGTAAACGAGTTGAGAGACTAGAATTGAAGAGTGCCATGTCTTTCTGCATCTAGTGGCGCTTCGGGTGTTTAACACAGGAACTCCGCAATGCCGCATTAATTTAATTTCACGATTTGGCATGGGAGATTAAAAATGACATGTTCAAATTACGAATAAGTAAGGATTTGGTAAAACGTTTTACACAAAAATTGAACGCTAAAATATTACTATTAAAATTAATGTTTTTTTTAAAGTTTTTATACTCTTTCAAATTCATCAGAACTTTATCACAACCCAACACAAGCAAAGGTCCCAGTATAAATGACGCATCATAGACCTTTGCTAAGTTTTAAATCACTTTGAATCAACGTGCAGACATGTAGTTTAGCATAGACTAGCCGTTGTTCCTTGGTGGTATCAAAACTCTTTCAATTGTGGCACAATCCACATTCTCATTAGAAAATATGCATTATCACTGTTTGCCTGCCGCGCTCGAAAAAATATATATCGCTAATACACCGTGTATTAGGCGTGACGCCCTCTCGGTTTGTGGTGCCGGGTTTTCAATTGATTAATGAATAAGTTACAAATGGGAAAACTATATACCGAATTGAGATGACTATTTAAAGGCAATATGTTGCGATAAATTCTGCAAATGATTCACGTACAAACAGCTTTGCCATCAATTAATTTCTTTTTCTCTCCATGCATTAATCCTAGGTTTATTTGGACACCATTTTGTTGCAGTGTAATTTGAGTATGTGGATTAGGGTTCTCGGAGTTTCTGGCCACGAAATTGTAATAACATTGAATCGCATTTAAATGGAATGTTAAAAAATGTAATAAAAAAAAATTAAAATTGAAATAAAAAAATTAAAATCAATAAACTTTTTTTTAACTTTATGGAGCGTTTTCGTCTTACTTGCACTGGCCGAGAAAGCAGCACTCCAAAGTCCCTCGTATTCCGCTAGAAGCAAAGAAAGATATAAAACTTTAAAGAGGTACATTGTAAAAGGATAAAAAGCGGGTATAGGTATTGGTCCTTCGCCGAAATGTATTCAATGAAAAAAGGGTGTCTATTCTAAGTTAACCTCGGTTAATGGGGCTTATCTAAATTGGAATAGCTTTGATGATATCSCGTCCCCATTTTCAATTGGGTTTCTATGGTTTACCTACTATGGGTCATTATCCGTCATGACATTAACTGCGGTTATTGTTGTTGCATTTTTCAAAGTTTAGGGAGTATACCCGGCCATAGGGATTACCCGGCCATAGGGTGTACCCGGCCATAGGGAGTATCCGGCCATAGGGTGTAACCGGCTATAGGGAGTACCCGGCCATAGGGAGTACCAGGCCATAGGCAAGGAATACCTGCAATTTTTAAAACTTTATAGATTGTTTTCGTTTTATAGATGTATATAACATTATTTTTATTACCCTCAACTGAGACGCTGACTTTAAGTTCTTTTTGATAAGCCGCGCTGTTAGCAACAATGTCGTGTTTTTTCGTTGAAACGCAGGAATCGCGAACAGTAAACCGAATTTGATCTGGTACAAGATACTTATTGTTGTCTGATCTCTTATCTTCCTTATAAGAGAGTCTAAGAATCCTCTTAGCAGGGAGCAACCCTGGATCGACACCGCCATTTGCGATATCCTGACCATCGGGGTTTCCTCTTATAAGATCGTAGCCACTGCCAATAAAAGAAAGACCAGCTGGGCTAGGGAGAGGCGAATCATCTGACATTTCGTCTTCATCTTTTGTAGAAGTTGCATTTTTTATTAGTGATGACGACGTTGAGATGAGAGTGAAAGAAGCACCAACAATGAAAAGTGCCAACACGTACTTCATACTTGCTGAAAATATATAATAAATTGAAGAAATTAAAGTTAAGATCATACAAGTGTAATTATAGAATATATATTAAATATAATAATTGCAAGTACTGTACCTATATATTTTAACACACTTTTATCCCATGCATATTGTAACATAGACGTAGTTCAGCCTTATGGCTTCAAGATTTATATTAAAGTCATCTATCTATCATATCGAGAATGAACGAAGATATACATACGATATGCAGGAGTCTGACATTTAAGATAAATAATACGGATTTCCGTGTTTCAGTTGATATGTTGATCAAAACACGAAGTATGTCGGGAGAACACGAGAGAAGCGTAGGTAGCCACGACGCCAAGCACTGTGACTTTCAAGCATGAATAATAAGAGGAGCTAGAGGAACCAATGAGAAGCGGCGAAACACCRCCGGACCAATGACAAGCGAGCACATACAGTGAACGATTTTTTCTTATTGAATTTTATTGCACTCCAAGAAATAACTCCAGACGAAGGTCTTGTTACAGTCTTTGTCGATATATTGTATAAGTTGCCTGTGATTGAATTCGTTATATGTACTTTCCGGACATCACTTCTGACGTGAGCGTTATGAAAAACTAAACGTCAGCCAATCGATTTTTTTTTCTTGTAAAAAAATTGATAGAACAACGTCTATAAGTTCAAATAATAGAACAAGAGAAATCTAAAGAAGTCGGAAATACAAGTGTTTGACAAGGTTGTATACATAACCACGGCACTCACTCGAATGATATTTTCGATTTTCAATGAAAACTACCAAACGTTTTGTAACTTTGCGTAACACTCCGGGCTGTTTGAGAACACAGCAGACTGTCATATTAGCTTTATTGAAGCAACAATATTCAAATTCTTACTTGAATATCGAACATCAAAACAATTTTAATATAAATTAGAAACACAATGATATTGATCCACTATATCGATTGCCTGACGTTGAGTTTTTCGTGCTCTGTTTAAAAATAAGAATCCGCTGTATTTTTATTGACTGTGAGCTCAGAAACCAATTCGAAAAGCGACATGAATTATTAAAGTCTTTCTCTATGTGAGGAATTATCAGGAAAATAGGCAAACGCAAATTAAAAAAAGGTCGTTACGAGCAAAGTTGTACTAGAAACTAGTAAGAAACAATCTAAAATCCAAGTTAAATACTTCGATATTTTGACATTTCACACATTTGTTCAGAACGGGGTCGTTTGTCTCGAGGATGGGTTTTGAAGGGCAAGGTTTGAAGGTTTGATTTTTTTAAGTATTTTAAATGCGTAAAATACTGGACAGTAGACATGAGTGAGTCCTTTGGACGCCTTTTTGTGAAGTCATGCAGACCTCCAAAACTGGTAATGAACCGAACTGTGACATGCACGAAGTGAAAGGTTATCAAAAGACAATTCTTATTSAAAATAATAATTGTTGAAATATATAATAGAAATAGAACATTAAACTTAAAAGCAAAAGAAACGTTCGAGGTGAGTGATCGATCTACTTTTCTGTTTTACTAAAGTACAAGTGTTTTGTTTTTCTTTGACAAAATGTTTTAAATTAGATGTATATTTTTTTCCAAGTTGAAAATCGTTTTCAATTCTCGATACTTTTGTTTCAAGTGCTGTTTTAAGTCAAAACGTCATTTTGGTTCCAATGACAAGTGAGATCGACATAATGATACTATTGGCACTCGATAAACGTATCGCAGCACTTGGTCTCGCCTATTCTCAGTCAATTTATGCAAAAAATGTACCTTTAAGACAGGCAATCTATCTCTGAGCTATTCTTGGTCACTAGAGAAAGTGGATTGTCCTTTTCAGCACTGGTCTCAGCTATTTTCTATGCGATAAAATTAAAAAGAACAATTAGTCGAGTCCCCAATGGAAAGAAACTTGCTCATGAACCCCCAAATCAGTGTTGTTTTTGCTTAAGTACTTTTTACCTTGCTGCAGGCTGTGCTCAGTACTGCAGTCCAGAGAAAATACCTGATCAATGTGAATACCGGTGTTAATTTATAGTTGAATAAGGATTGTCCTCTTGTAGTGGATTGTCATTGGATCTAGCTTGTGATTGGTTGCAATTTTTCAGTCATGCTTCAATAGAACCCCATGACAAAGGCTTATTAAAGCTCCCTCGTGTCCTTTCAAGWGTAAAATGAGTGGATATTAACTCTTTCAGAAAGACCGAAATAAAGCTTTCTTTATTGTTTTGATATATGTTTTGCCATCTATCCTGCGRTTTTTTTTCTTTAGTATTTCTTGTTTGCTGTTCACTCATTAGCTAGGTATTATCAATTATTCATTGAAAGCTATGTGTTAAAGCATTTTGGTAAATTAAGGCTGACAGCATTGCAGGGGATTCCCATAACTAATTCAAGGGTAACGCCTTTGTGTTTATCCAAGTGTAAAGCTGTGTGTCATGGGTGGGGTAAAACCTTCATTTGACTTGTTCTCCAGAAACCTTAACTAAGCCTTACAAAAACTAAAGTGCAAACAATATTATTGTGGAATAAATAAGTAACAGAATAGTACTAAGGCCCTGTTCACATGAGATAGGGTGCCACTTCGTGGTAGGGCTAACGCCTTTGTTTTCTTTTCCCTGGAGGATTGAAAACAATAGAGTTTGGCTCTACACTTAGGGGCACCCTATCTCATGTAAACAGGGCCTTATTATACTTTGTTTTCTATTGTCTAATTAAGACTATTTGGCCGTCAATAAACAATATTTCCGAGGAGCAAGGGCGTTTCAAAAACATCACAGACGCACAAGAGGAAATAGATTTAGAGATAGAAAAAAGAGAAAAAAAAAACAGAAAAAAGGAGACTTTCTTTCCTTAATTAGCTTATGGTTTTGTTTTTATCAATTGCTAGTCTATAATTAAAATTATGTCTCCGACTTAACTTCAACAACCTTTCGAATCCTTATTTTCTTTGCAACGGCGCTTTTTCTCAAGTGTGAACGTGAACAATATGAGGTTTATTCTATTGTTGTGTTTTCATCTAATTCCTACATATAATACCACGGCCAACTGAAAGCCGACGTTATACCTTAGGAATGGATAAAGAAAATAAACCGTTCATTGATTTTTATGTTAATCACAAGTTTGAATACAGCAGCAATGTTAATAGCTATGATACAAGATATGTCAGGAAACAAAATCTTTATAAAGGAAAAGCAAGAGCAAACAGGTAAAAAAACCAATATCCTTTATGACATGTGATCTCTAGATTAAGCTACCAGTAGATCTTAAATGTCAAACTCCGTTTTCCTTAAAACTGAAAAAGTTGAAAGAAAATCATTGTCCACTCAACACCTATCACTGCCTCGCTTCCTTTTTACTATAAATTCCTCGCGTCTATAATAGGGATGTACTTCTATGTTTTCCATGTTCTGTTGATCGTTTAAAACCATAACCATGAGATTCAAAAGATAAAAGATCGGCGGCCATGAGAAATGAGAAATCCTTTGTCGAAGTTCCTCCAAGATGGCTGCTGTGACGTAACTTGGAAACGAAGAATTCAGGGAATCCAATTTTTTTTCTGTGGGCTATAATATTCAAAATGAAAGACGAGCAACGAAATATTGATTTATTTTACGCCAACCCTCGAATCTTGAATAGGATCTACATTTAACTAATTTGTCTTGAATCGATTTTAGAGTTACCAGCGGAACGTTCCCGCCGTCTAAATCTGTAACACGAGCCTCTAGCCCCCGGCTCCTCCTACACCCCCCGGGATATATTCTAACAAATGCATTTCTATGCAAATGTAGTATGATCGTCCGGGTGTGTCTTGAGACTCGAAAAGGTAAATCACTCGCCTCGTGTTCTCCCAACCACCCCTCGCGGTTTATTTCGCTAGCGGTCGTCAATAGTGTTTATATTTACGAAGGAGGGATTTCCCTGAATTGAGTGTAATGTTCCCGCAATAAAAGTTGCGTGAAAGTATCCTAATAGGTTACTAAATAGATAGATAGACTTTCGAGATTTCGCAGACCAATGATCTGAATTACAACTGGATTACATAGTTAGATCGAATAAAATTATAATAATTATAGAAGGAATCGGCAAGACGAAACGTCAGGAGGAGCCGAATGGTTGTGTTCTTCTGAATAACTTTTCTTCAATACGAATATTTTTCTGTGAAAGGGATTTTGACGGAACTACATTGTTGATAGTCTCACAAGCAAATGTAGCGCCCTGCTTCTCTAAAATAATTTTGTTCCTGGCAAACGTTTTTGGTCAAAAAAGGCTTATATAACGTTTTTATGGTCAGAAACGGCTTATATTTTTTTAGTTAGAAAWTTTTTATTTTTCTGGCAAAAATTCTTAGAAAGTATCTTGTCTGGGGAGTTCTTTTTTCTTGAATTTCTCGCTGGCAACCAGTTGTGACTTACAGCTGTCTGGGACATAAGAACAGATATATTTCTCATAGGAACCCGTCAGCTCCTCCTAAAACCTAAGAAGTCACAAGCTGTAATTAAGGTTTGAACGTAGTTAATGTTCGTGAAATTATAACAACAAACTAGATAGTAACATAAGTTATTTAAAAATGAAGCTCTTGGAATTTTATGAGAACTGAGGAACAGCAAAATGATGAATTGTGAACGAAACAGGTTATCCTATATTGGGACTAAACACGCAATAATTATGTCAAGTAAGTATTTGCTTTACTAATGGAAGAGCAGGTAAAAGCGGTAGCTTCTGAAGCAGATGACATAAAAAGATGACTAACTTACTAGAGCATCATTCGAAGGGTTCATGAACATAAGCCGGATGATAATTAATAAATGTTGCCCAATTGTTTTATTCTTGGTTAAGTAGTATTTGCTCCTAGAAACGATGGGAGTTTTTGAAGAAGAAAAAATAAACAAATAAGCTGAATATGTTTGACATATTTAAGCGATATTATCGATATTATATATGACCACTAGCAAAAAGTAGAATTAACCGAAAAGATATACAATATATAGGGCGAGGAGTGAATCGATAAAGGTCAATAAACATCTCGCCGTCCTTACGCGAGAGAGCTCACGATCGTTAAAAATTGAAAGGTGTAGCTATTTTGATCCAGATTTTTTTTTTTTCGTTTTATTTTTCTTTGTCCTTAAAACGACTCAAGTTTATTGTTATGAAAATTTAAGGAGATATTGTGAAATACCTTACATTGCTTTTATACGTTAATATATTTTAAAAACGTGAGAATAACTGTAAGAAGATATTGTATAGAACGTAGGAAAAAACRTATAAAGATAACTAAAATATCTTTAGTTATTTTTAATTTTTTTAATTTGTATTTATATTTGTGTTTGTATTGTTTTATTATTTAACTACTATTTATTTTTTTTGTTTTGTTTTGTTATGCTAACTTTTA